TTCTTCATCTTTCCTGCTGTTAGCCATTTCCAGGTCTTGTTGTTATCTGTTTTGCCTGCCAGGCCACATCATATTTTGCCTTGCCATCTCTTTTCTTTTCTTCATTTAGTCTTTCTTGTAGGCCAGTTTGGTCCCTCCAATCCGCAGTAAGCTGTGGTGCATTTCAAAAAATTTTACGATCAGTTCGGCGGGCATGGCTTGGTTGGCGCGCTTTGCACGTGCACACACATTTGCCCACGCATGCGAAACATGCACTTTGCACAGATGCAGAGGCTTTCCAACTCACCTCCTGCAATCCTGGACTCTCCCTGTCACTTCAGCAGCTGCTACACGGCAATCTGCTTACTGCGAAAGCACCTGCGCTTCAAAAGCAGGACATAAAGGTTAGTATGGAAGCCCGGGTGGGCGGGTAGGCCAAACAGCAACGCGTCAGAAAGAACCGGTTCGGTTTCCGCTGCTCATCACCGCTACCAGCTTGGCAGAACCGGGCCGAACCGATAGAATACTATCACTGCCAGCAAGCCTTCTTTATTGTCCTCAGATAGTCTTCCAATTCCCTTTTTCCTTTTTCATATGTCTGGTATATTTGAACATACCACAGCCACTTATTTTCCTTGGTAAGTAGAGTCTGTAACATCATTGAATTGATGAATTATTTTTCTGGTCTTCCTATCCAGGGCTCTTAGTTCTGCTTGAGTCCAGCCTGGTATTCCATCTGTGTACCTACTGACAGAACTTTCCAGATCTTAATTGTCTTTATGGCATTTCCTTCACTGAGTTTGGGTCTTACGATTTTCCATCTCATGATGTATTTACTTCTGACTTTCTTCTTGACTTCAATGTGCAAAATGTTGTCATCCTGAGGGTGACTACAGGGAAACTATTTGTAGTTTTTTTAAAATCCAGACTCTTAATGTTATTTTTTTAGGGCATTTTGATTCCTTCAATTTTCACAATTTTCCCCCTGTTAATGGTGAGGGTGGTACATTTGTCCACTACAAACTCCATCACAACAACCTGGCTGAAGTTATCTTAGTTCAATTATGAAGATTTATGGAAAAACAAAAATTAAAGAAATTTCAATAAAATTAATAAATTATAAAAGTCAAAAGTAAATGATGGCAAGAGCGATGAAGTAAGGGGAATCACTGTCCCTTGCCAAAAGCCTGGGTCTTCACCACAGATGGAAGTAAGAATAAAGGAGACAAAATTATATGGGATGACATTAGTGTGAGAATTTTAAGATCTGTATGGAAATGATTATTGAATAGTGAATCAAAACAAATGCTATAAATATTAATATCTGAGAATGAAATAGATGAACCAAGGTGGCTAATTTGTTAAGTTGATTGAGAAAGTTAGAATTCTAATTGAAAGTGTAGGAGAGAATACAAGGAGCAAATTTTTGGAAATCTACTTTGATTTTATGGCAAACTATTATGCCTTAGTAGATCACTGAAACATTTATGACTATGATCAAGTATATTTATTGCATGTTTGTTGATTTAGAGAAAACATAAGATGAACTTGGCTTGAGTAAAGATGATGTTGATATGTAGATAGGATAGGATATGTAGATTGTGGATAGGAATGTGTATTTTGATATGGAAACAATGCTAAATGATTTTCTGTGAATGTAAGAAAGATTGAATGATACATTAATTTCAGATCCATACTTTTTGTATGAAGACGAAGGCAGTTAGGTTTGACAGAGTAGGGTGAAATTAGAACAGTTGAATTTCTGCATCTTGGTAGATTGTTTACTAATATGAGAAATGGAATGGAGAAATGTTAACACATGCAAATGCTGGTACAAAGTTAGGTGCATAATAAATAAATGCAAAAGGTGCATTTATAATAAATGTATAATAAATAAATGCACAAAGGTAGGTGCATAAATGCATTTTTATTATCAGGAGTGGAAATGGATGAGCTTCAGATAGAGTCTGCCTACATAAAGCATAAAATTATGCCGTCTTTTCTTACTTAGTACCCAGGATTAGAAATGCTATACTAGATGGGAAATATTAAATAATAATTTAAGGTAGCCCTTGATTTACAACTACAGTTGGGACCAGAATCTCAGCTTTTGAGCAAAGCTATTGTTAAATCAGATGTCCATGTGACCACTTCAATAAACTATATTATATTTCCATGTCGGAAGCACCAAAGTATATTCATGATGAAAAGATCAGCCATTGACGTTGTTATTGCCCAGGGAATGCCCAGTTGAGAGTTCCTTTCATGTCCCTGTTAAGTTGCCCACTGAAGTGGTGCCCATCTATCTGTTCATAGTTACCCACTTTCAAGCTGCTGCGTCAGCAGGAGCAAGAGCAAGTGACGAGATCTCACCCCATCATGTGGCAGCAACCAGAACTCAAACATGAGCCTACCAATCATCAGCCCAGCATCATTATCATGTGAGCCAGGCTTCACTGAACAAGCACCATCCTAGTGTAACTGAGATCCCACCCCCCAAGCAGTTCTTTCATTCAACCCCAAGAAATAAGAGACTTTCTGGGTAAGCCTGCAGAGAAGATTGCAAATATATATCTCATGATCATGGGACACTTGACAATTAGAAATAAGTGCGAATAGCTTGCGAACACCCAAATCACAATAATATGATTGCAGGGGTAGGGATGCAACATTTTGTGAGGGCCAGAAGTCTTTTATGGGCTATTTCCAAGCTCATCATAATTCCAGAACATCATTAAAAGAATGGTGGTAATTCGAGAACTACCTGTAACCGCTCACCTTCCTTGCCAGGGAAAATATACTAATAAATGAAATAATTGCACTTTTGTTTCTTGTTTGTTGGTTCTTTCTTAGAAGAGTATTTGATTCTCTGCTGCTATAATAATGAGTTATTTTCTTTGCACTGTCTTTTGTTTATTTGTGTCTTCTTTTTTAAACATGTGTGACAAAGTACTTATATAGCAATGCCAACACTCCCCCATTATGAATTAAAGCAGCCTTTGCACAAAATTCTTGTTAATGGCCTTACTAACTATGGAATTTGGAATTTGAAGACTACCCATCAAGAAAGCACCAATTTTGATCTAACTACCCTAATGCCAATTATATTTTCTTTCATTCAACAGGTGAAATAGATTTTCCAAATATATTTTATATTTCTTTGATATTTTATGTTTACTGATTACTTTCTATAGATTGCTCTATTTTTAACTCAGTGTTACATGTCATATTTTTATTCTGTGGCCTACTGCCTGGTTTTCAGTAAAAAATATGCTTTAAAAAAAGAAATATGTACATCAGCATGAAGATAAAGTTGTGGGATTGTAACTAATGGTATTCAAAGAATGAATAGATGAGATGAATTGTGTGAAAGAAATTTGGTTCAAACAAATTACGTTAAAACCATGTCTAAGTAGCTTTGATAACATTGTAATAACTTTTTTTACCATTCATATACCACATTCAAATATTACTCCTTATCTGAGTACTGTAGACCTACAAACATTTCCATAAATATTGTGTACACATCCACAAGAGAGAGTAAAATGCTTGCATTCCAAAAAGCAAGCCTGCATTTTCAAACTTCAATTTCTTCCAACTATTAATATCCATTCACAGCAGTCAGGATGGAAAGAAAGAAAGAAAGAAAGAGCACTGTGTTGAATATTACAGTAAATTTACATGATAACACATTTAGGTAGGTATCATAATTCATCATGAATTTCAACAGAAGTTTTGATCACTTCCAGTTTAATTTTCTGATGTTAAAATTTACAGCTGGAAACTTCCAGCATAATGTGTTAGATGCATCTCCTAAAGCTGTGAATTAGAGTAACAACATTTTGGCTATAGTTTGTCATCAGCAAGCATCATTTGTGTGCTTTAAGGTCTGAGGGCAAAACATCAGAATCACTTTATGTGGACATAGCAACATATAGCTAGCTTCATAAATTTTGTTGCAGAGATCAATAATCAATACTTCATGTTTAATGATGCAAAACTGAAATTAGTATAGATTTTATGCCTTCTGCTCTTCCAAATTATACAAACTTCAGTAGCACTTTTTGTACTTGCTCCATTACCATTTTCCATAAATAATAAGCCAATAATATTTAAATGAATGTTTGAATGGTACCTAAAATGTTACAGACTACTTTTAAAAAGAAAAGAAAAGAAAAAACTTTTTAAAGTATTTAGCCTTAGGTTAACATAAAATAATGTCAAACACATACACAAAATGATTTATGGGAGTCTTGCAAGTTTTGTTACCCTTAGCCACATAAAAAGGCAATTGTAAATTGTTTCCACATTCTAAATTACCTTATGTTGCTTTGGGATATACTGAAAACAAAATTGACCCCTAGAGTGCTTTGGAAAATAGAAAGGGTTGCTTTTAGATTCAAGCATCCTATTGGAAGTAAAATGTGGGAAATTATCTCAGTTTATACATGTAAGAAAAAGAAATAGGAATAGATTTTTGAAGAAGGTTGGAATGAAAGATGAATGTGATGACAAGATATTTTTCCAAGTAGCTGTTAAATGGATTGAGAATGCTATGTGTTTAAAATATAATATTTCAATTCAATGAGAATGGGCTCAAAAAAATGAGAAAAAGTTGGAAAAATTCTACACATTCTGACTGAACTACACAAAAGTTGTTACTATGATAGTAATCAGCTCTCTGGAGCAATTGTGCAACAAAAATGCCATTATTAATAAATCTATAATGGATGGCAAAGTTATTGCCATTTTTAAAAATACCGAGTAAGAGAATTAAAGCTTACTAAAAAAACAGAGGACTTTTCATAATTACTTTTGGGAAAGAAGTTTCAAGAGTTTTATAAAGAAGGAACAGTTTCCTTTAACCCTATCTATTAGTTTTGTATTCAAATATTACACAAAATACTAATCCAGATGGTAGAGTCTTCCATCTATCTGAAAGTAATGATTATGAGTTCAAGCTAAAGTAATCAATTAGAGAGTAATATTTATTAAATTAAGCTAATATTTTATTATCTGCTATGTTCGTTTCTCTGCAGGAAGAACTCAAAAGGCTACAGCACACCTTGGAGCAAGTTAGCGATGGAAACTATTTACTTGAAAAGTAAGTACATTTTTAGATCTCCATATTAAAGTTCTACACAGTTTTAATTAACCTTTGCTTAGATTAAGGAAGAGCTTAATCAACTACAGCTTGAATAAGTGTTAACATGTAATTTGTAGAATAAGATAGAATTAATTTTTTATATGATGTAAACTTTCCTCCTGGGTATCATATGTTTACTCCCATGTGAAGCAAGAACTGTAAATCCCTCCATCAATGAACGAGTGAGTGAGTAAGTGAGTGAATGAATGAAAATACTTGTCTATGAGAGAAGGGTACTATATAGTGTAAATAGATCCCTGTCCCAATACAATCTAAAAATTAAGAAAATGAGGAGCTGTGGGGAAGAGGAGAAGCATTTGTGGGGGCAAAAGTTCTTACAAAAGGATTTGTTGAATTTTAAGGGGAAAGCTATCTGCTCTGGATTGCATATGGCATAAGGGGAAAAAAATGAAAAGGTTTGATTTTTTTTTTGAAGGAATTAGAGAATTTTAGATGATGGTAAACCTTAAAGCTCCTGAAGCAAACATTGTAATAGATTAATAAAAGCCTGAAAACTGTGATGTGACAAGATGCAAAACGTTCATGATAGAGACAAGTAGTTTAGGTAACAGGGAGACAAAGCAAAGATTTAGGAACATCACCAGTTTGGAAGAGTTTCATAAATTAAATAAGGGGTGCCCTATTGCTAGAGTCCTTTATATAGTCCCCAAAATCCCTAGAGCACTGTTTGCTAAGAGTGTCAATCTAAGGGCGGTGCTGGAGGCAAACTAAAGTTACTTCATGTACAATCATCAGCAGTTTAGCAATGATACCTTATACATAGTCCAAGCCATTCTCAATAAGCAGTAGCATTACATAAATCAAAAACAGAAGGTCTGTGTCATTGGAAGACTGGCAAATTAATTTGCTCTTATATGTGTTTAGAGCAGCCTAATTGTTCCCGCTCATATTTTGTGCCAAAGGAAGCTATTTTAAAGCAAGCAGATTCAAAATGTTTTGTTTCAAGGATAAATGTTTGTGGTGACTATAAGAATGAAATAAATTGTAATGAAGAACTTTTTTTTACAGCCATCAGCTTGCTATGGACATGGCCATGGAGAATAATATTGAGAAATATCATATCAATTTACAGCCCTTGGAATCAAAAGTGAAAGTGTAAGTGACCTAAAATAATTTGGCAATTACAATAATATTACTTGAATTCAGGGGATCTTGTTAGCATGGCCAATTGACTTTGATGTTTCAGTGCCTTTGTTGTTATTTAAATATAAGGTAGACAAGAAATGGCAAGGAGAGCAGATGGAGCCCATTCAAATTATATAAACTAACAGTTTTGGGTGATAATGCAATGTGCAATTTAGGAAGAGCTTTTAGTGTGGCTCATTGATTTCTGAACAAAGAAAAAATATTGAAAGAGTCAGGATGGGCCCACCTACAACATGGGAATATGACATACCCTGATCTCACGTGTTAATTACAGGGACGCTGTTCATATAATATCAAAATATTTTTGTGATCTAGCTAACACACAAAAGAAAAACTGTAAAAGCAAGAGAATCTTTTCATTTTTTGACTTTGTGGAGCTAGTTCACAAATTACATTTAACGTAAGATTTTTGGAACAGAATGAAAATGAAACCCAATATCAAAGGAGCAGAATGTAGGATTCCCTTCTCTTTACCAGCTGTATTTTCCAAATGACCAGAATTACACTAATCCAATTGTGAGATGACTAAAATGTGAGTGACCATCTGAAGGGATTCCTGATCCAAGAAGGGGCACAACCTGGGGTGGGATTCTACCGGTTTGCACCAGTTCTATTGAACCGGTTGTTAACGTCACTGGTAGTTCTTAGAACCAGTAAAACCGACACCTGGCTGGCCCCGCCCCGCTCTGATGCTCCTACAGGCCAAAACCCTTTTTTTTTACTGCGCATGTGTGACATTTTTCGAGCATGCGTGTCAATCCTTGCCTCATTCTTTCGCCCGCTCACCCCTCCCTTCACTGGCTCCGCCCCGCCACTCTCCGCTGTTCCTATGCTCCAAAAACCAGTTTTTTTACTGCGCATGCACAGCAATCCTTGCCTCATTCTCCCCTGCCCGTCCCACCCCACCCCTACTTATAGCGCATGTGCGCTACCTACAAAAATCAATGTAACAAGAAGTTGCCGGCCTCATTTTTGGTAAGCTGCTTTTTTTATTTTTGTGTTTATTTATTTCTTTAGTATCTGTTTTTGTCTTTATTAAAACAAAACCCATAGCTCCTCGTAGCTGCCCGAGCCTTGCCCAACCCTCCCCGTAGCTCCTCGTAGCTGCCTGGGTCTTGCCCAGCCCTCCTCATAGCTCCTCATAGCTGCCCAAGCCTTGCCATGCCCTCCCCGTAGCTTCCCGTAGCTGCCCGAGCCTCCCCCAGTTCTCCCTGTAGCTCCTCGTAGCTGCCTGGGCTTGCCCAGCCCTCCCCAGGGTTCCCCAGGCCTTGGAAACTGGCAAAAAACACTTGCTAAGCAACTGGCCACTAAGTGAGGACCTGGTCATTAAGCTAGGACCACTTAAACTTGAGTTGCCAGCCACATGGCCACCTGCCCAGGCCTTGCCTAGACCTCCCCAGGCCTTGGGAACTGGCAAAAAGCACTTGCTAAGCAACTGGCCACTAAGTGAGGACCTGGTCATTAAGCAAGAACCACTTAAATTTGGGTTGCCTGTCACATGGCCACATGGCAATGCCCACCCCAGTCACATGACCACGTAGCCACGCCCACCCCAGTCACGTGACCACCTAGCCACGCCCAGTCAGCAAGCCACTTCCACCCCAGTCACATGACCACCAAGCCACACCCACAAATTAGGCCATGACCACAGAACCAGTTGTTAAGAAATTTGAATCCCACCCCTGGGCACAACTGGCACATTAAGTGTACCTGTGCCAATGTCCTCTTGGGCACCTGGTCTTTGAACAAGAGCTGAGAATCTCAAAGGATTCCCAGATTGCACACAACTCTGAAATGGTGAAGTGAAACCCTGCTGTCAGTCATGAAATACATCCAGAACTAAAGGGTGCACAAGTAAACATAGCCTGAGTTGGTTGTTCCTCATCTAGACTCACATAGCCTCAAGGCAGCGGGTCAAAAACTTTAATTATTTTGCTTGGCCAACCAGAGGTCAAAATATACAACTTGGTATCATCACTGTATACTTTTTAAACAATATCTCCCATCCTAGACCATTTGGACAGTTATTCTCTCAGTTGTCTTCTCTTGCATCTTTAGGACTTTTAACAAAAGAGTTGAGAGGGGGGGAGGAAAGGAGAGGGGGAGAGAGAGAGAGAGAGAGATTGTTCAGACATGAAACCACAGCAATGCAAACACTGTTTCAGAGATATGTGAGGCATTTCTTTTCTTTTTTTCCTGACTAAAGAGAGCTGTTGGCTCTGAAAATCACAGCCTGTCTACTAAAAGATGCTTTGCAATCCTTTTAGGATTGCTCTGTCTATTTTTTTACCCTTTATTTGTATTGAAGAAGAAGCAGAGAAATGAAAACAAATGAAATGGCATAAGAATGTAAAGAAATGCATTAGAATATCATGAGGCTATTCTATGGAAGTTCTCTTCAGACAAACAACTATTCAGTTGTAAAGAGCAATGTTTTGAATTAACTACTATTCTTCTCACAAAGCTATTCAAAATCCAAAGCTTCTTTGATATTACACTGCCATCTGGTGTTTGTAGATTTCCCATTCAGCATTTTAACAATTCAGAATATAATGTTTTTTTTAATGGAAGCTTCTTTCACATTGTGAACAAGAACAGCAAAAAGGGTAACAAGAAAACAAGAGAAAATAGAAAACAGTATATGTTTTTGTTTATATTTTATATAACTATATATAAAGAGATTCTGTCCAAAATCAAAACAGTCTGCAGAGTTTGGGGGGAAAACAGATTTTTGTCTGGCTAAGACCCTAGAAAGGTATTGGAAGCAATAGTGGTGGTGCACCACCTGAAATATCAGGCAAATGTTTTTTTGTTGAAAAATTTATGAATCCATTATTTTGTGGAAGTTAACAGTATCAATGGCTCCATGATAGATACATGGAGACTGAATGAAAAGTAAAGCCCTCAGGATTAGAGATTGAAAAGACATAGCAGCATGGACAAAGTAAGAATGTTGACATCTTTAGCATGTGTTTTTTCACCTCAGTTGATGGGAAGTCATTCTGTTGCCATTTGTAAAATGAAAGCCTCAAGTAAGTACACTTCAAGCAATCTGTTGTGATTGAATTTTTGTCTGCCAAAGTAGGGAAATTGACCACCAAATATAGGTTGTTTATGGTGATGACTTTGTTGATATGAGATCTGTCAACAAGGCCTCAAACAGGACCAAAAAGAATGGTGAACTACAAAGAAATATGACAGCAACCAATAAGCTTCACATAAGAAAGCTTGATGAACTGACAATCCACAAATTACCCAAAATGCATTTCATAGGTACACGGGGTCACATTGTTGATATTGTTCAATACTGTAGGATTATGCAGGTTGGATGCCTCTTACTCTACTGATAGATAAAACTTTCAAGAATTGAAATTTGCCAATATTTTTTGTCATGCCAAAACAATGAAAGTGAAAAATTTCTTCACAGAATTGTGATAACCAATAAAATCTTGGTTCATCTTTATGACCCAGAAAGAAAGCATCAGTCCATGGAATATTAACACAATCCCTTGCATTCATCATCATTATTATCATCAATATCGTCACATCACCACCATCACCACCACCACCATCATCCTGGTTTCAGCAGAAAGATTCATAGTTAGTTTTTGGGAGTGCATGTGGTGTTATTCACTTGAATTTCCTTGAATATGACATCACTATGAACTGAGTGCTACAAAACTTTAATTCAGAAGCACAAGAAGGACGTTTTGGGGGCAGTTTGTTGGGGGAAATATGTTGACACTGTAAACCACTTAGAAGGACCGTAAAGCATTGTGAAGCGGTATATAAGTCCAAAGTCAGAGGTGGTATTCAGCAGGTTCTGACAAGTTCTGGAGATCTAGTAGTGGAAACTTTTATTAGTTCAGAGAACCAGCAAATACCACCTTTGACTGGCCCCATCCCCATCTATTTTCTGCCTCCTGAGTCCCAGCTGATCGCCTAGGTCTTCTTTTGTTGCCCTGCACAGGAGAATGGAACTGGAAAGCAGGTTAGTGGGCTCGAGAGGGAATGGGATTTTGCAGTAACCTTCCCCCTGGAGTGGTCAGGGAATGAGAACTTTACAGTATCCTTCCCCTGCCACGCCCACCAAGCCACGCCCACAGAACTAGAAGTAAAAAAAAATTGAATCTCACCACTGATCCAAGTGCTATTACTATTGCTATTTTTCTTCCAAAGGATAATGTTGGCCAGAAAAAAAAGTGAACTGTGATCTCACCATCTTACCCATCCATTTGACTATAAAGAGGTGGTAAGGGCTGTCAAAACCTGACAAGAGACACAAAGCATCGAGTTTTTTCACAACAACTTTAGGAAGCTCGTCCATCTTGGAAAGAAGTATATAGCAAATAGTAATGCTTATGTGTAGAGATAAATACAGGCAACCAAAGAGCTAATTTCAAGGATTACTTTCTGGTTTCTTTTATTAAAAAATCTATATAAAGTAATGTTAGAGAGATGGAAACCTTACTTTTCATTCAAATCACACATCTTTTTTGTTCTATCATTGGATTAATGCCTCTGAATACTAGTTGTTGGAGAATGTCAGGGGAAATGCTACACTCACATTTTGTTTTTCACAAGCATCTGGTAGCCACTGTGGGAACTGAATGCTGAAGTAGGTAGGCTTTTACTTTAATCCAGAATATCACTTTTTTCTGTCTGTTCAAGTTAAGATTTTTTTTCTATAATTCTTTATCAAAAGAAGTGAATGGACATATTCATTAAATATCTTATCTGAAGTTAGCTTTAAATGAATTTAGTAAGACTTTCGGGAATTTCTATGTAGGACTGCATATTTAATTTATATGATTAATTCTCCCACTGTGATATACTCTTAAGTATATAATTTTAAACCCTGGACTTTGATTTTAAAACATATTCATTTATTTAAAATTGTGGAGAGAATACTTTGCTCCCACTGCAGGTTCTCCTGAACATTTTACAAGCTAGGCTCATGAACTTCTGCCCCAGAGACTTGTTCTGATATATTCCTCTCTCACTGGGGGAAACGCCAACTAGGAGTCATTATTGGATAAAGGTTTTTAGTGAAAATATGCTTTAAATACAGCATTTGAAAGAGAAATTTTTAAGGAAAGCATTTCCCATAGTGTGCAAAGTCTTGTTTCAATTTTGCAAGGGTTGCCTTTCAGAATTGGTATCTAGGGAGGTGCATGAATACAAAATGTATGCTCATATTCATCCATCTTTCAAATTTCATATAGCATTCAAAGAGCATGGCGTGAATATCTCCAACGTCAAGATATACAGAGTCAGAACCATTTGGAAAAGCGCAGTCCTTCACCGCCTTCCTTGTCATCTGGCAAAATGAGCAGTTCTATCAGTATGAACATCTTTTCAGATGACAGTACACCCGTGAGTACATTTTTCCCTTCCACTGTTAAATATTTTTAAATGTCCAGTTCAGGGTCACCTCTCATAGTAGCTTTTATATTATGCTTCGGCTATTTGCTAAATCTGCAGATTTTACACACTTGCCTTTTATATTCATGCTTTACATTAGTGACTGTGGTTGGGCAAAAGCAGAAATCTTGCATATATAAATGCCATATTTGTGCTATTGAGTCTTCTAATGTTTCATATTCTGGGGGAGTATTTATATTGTAGCTATCAGCCAGAAATGGGCTTCACGTAATTTAACAACTGGTTCACCTAGTGCATAACCGAAAATGTGAGCATGTGCGCTCACCTTTCACACTTGCATGCAGCTTCAAACACATGGTGATTTCATACATACAGCTTCCAACACACCTTCTCAGGCAGCTGTGGTGAGTAGAGTGGGCGTGGTGCGGAAATCAGCTGGGCTGCGTGGGTGAGATGAGTGAGCCAGTGAGTGAGATATATAGGATGGGATAGCACCAAGGTGGGTGGGTGGGTCCAGCCGGTGATCGGAACTACTGGTATGGGCGAACCGGTCCAAACTAGCAACAGCCCACCTCTGCTATCCAAATTTTGACAAACTAGATCAAATGTTTAAGAAACTCAATTTACAGCACACACAACTTATTTTCTTCAGTGATCAACTGCTCTATCCATATTTTACTTTTACTATATATCAAAGAAGTAAAACATCTGTCATGGAAATTAAAGAACAAATATGGAACCTTAATTAGAAATTGGAACAGAACAGCATGGTATGTCCCTTACTATGCTTTTCATGTTTAATACTATCTGCCCAGATTATAAGATAGCAATCACCCTGACATAACCATTGTTTTCTTAAAATAGATTGCATTTTTTTCACAAATGCAATTACAGTATCCCTAAGCAACTGCAATGTCAAAGAATGGCTTGCATCAATAGAACGGAAATCAGCTAGATTGATTGGGCTTTGTGAATAGAAGTAGCATTTCACTGAAGCTGTTGGGTCAGCCTATCAAAGTGAAGCCTACAATGTATACATTCTGTAGGTCACAGACATATATAATGGAGAAAACTGTTTTCTTTACATTCATGGCCTGATCTGATCCTGGAGTTATACTTCAAACTGTCCTAATGATTTTATATTTGACAAACTTGCTGATATTTCACTTTTCAGTGATGCAGAGATATTTTGGAAGGAAATCATACTTAGAGTAGAAACTATCTGAATTTCATGTATAAATTAGTATTAATATTATGTCAGTTGAAACTATAGTTTTAAAGGATCCATATAAGTTTTCCCCAAAAAAATGAATGTAATTGCTATGTAGGGTTATAAGATGCAAATGTAAAAATTAAGCTGATGGGATAATTAAACTAATTATTGGGTTAAGAAATAGCAAGTAAGGAAAATCACTGAATTTTCAAGCAGATCCTGTAACTACATGTGAGGCTTGTTTCTGAAAAATACCCAGTGATATACATTTCATATGGAAAAGTATAAAAACATTTTGTGAATGGCTTTAGCTGCAGTTGAAACTAGCTGAATTAACTTATACCTTTTTACGATCTACTACTTGTGAACGCTAACAGTAATTTGATCCTTTCTCCAAAGCATACTCTTCTTTTAAGGATTGTTCAGGGTGTTTAAAAAAAAGCAAAACTTTTAACCTGTTCAGAAAGAGGAAAGGAAGCAATACTTTTGACTTTATTTCACTTTGTGACTTTATTTCACTGATAGGTTTCATGTCCCAAAGGAACTTTTTCAAGAGGCAACTGGACTTTCTTGTTTTTCTTTGAAAACATTTCATTTCTCATCCAAGAAGCTTCTTCAGCTCTGTGAGGATAGTGAGGAATAGAAAGATTAATGTTTCTTGCAGATAGCTGGTCATTTGTATTCTTCTAGAGAATACAAGGGTTGAGGGTTGGAAGTTTATCTGTTTATCTGTGTCCAAAGGGTCACCTGAGTAGTGCAAATGGGTGTAGAGCCTTCTTGGCATAGATGGCGTCTTTGATTCCTCTTTCAAACCAGCTGAGACCTGAGACATTCCATAGATATTTAGCTATGATTTTCAACCATTTTTCAATAATGGAGCTTCTCTCCC